AATTAAGATGAAATTGATGGAGTTTTGTAACCTGGGGAATAAAGAAAAAGAATGAGTAGGAGAAAACTGATTAATTATCAGAATTATTTTGGGAAAGTTATGTCTGAAGGTTTGGCTTTTCAATATTAATACCTGGATTACTAAGATCACCCACATTTTAATTATACCCGTGTCTCCACCTTAGATTTTATTTATTTAACATTTTTTTAATTACAAAAACATTTTTTCCCAAAGTATTCCTTTTTAGATTTTCAGTACAGCATCCTCAAAATACTAGGAATGTGGCCGGCAGGTGGCGTAGTGGTTAAAGCCCACATAGCTAACCAAGATTCTAGTCCCAGACCTGGTGGCTTGAAACCCATGCCGGACATGTGTGTATGCATGCCCAAAATCCCAAGAAGAGGATGAAGGAGAAGGGACTGTAGCATTTCCATCCCCTTGGGGGATAATTTCTCACTTTCTGTCTCTCTCTTTCTCTGGCAAGCACACATACCCTATAGCAAAAGTCTAAATATAACTATATATATGTGTGTGTGTGTATGTACACACACAAGGAATGTGTTACTGTTTAAAAGCCTATGGGAAAAGCTTCATAGTAATCATAGTCATACTTTTTTTGTCAGGTTCTGGGAACACTTTTTATTTATGTCTTATTTATGGTGGAGGAATTCAGGAAAGAGCCAGTGGAAAACATGGATGACGTCATCTATTATGTGAATGGCACTTATCGCCTGCTGGAGTTTCTCGTGGCACTCTGCGTGGTGGCCTATGGCGTCTCAGAGACCATCTTCGGAGAATGGACAGTGATGGGGTCAATGATCATCTTCATCCATTCCTACTATAATGTATGGCTTCGAGCCCAACTGGGGTGGAAGAGCTTTCTTCTCCGCAGGGATGCTGTGAATAAGATTAAATCATTACCCATTGCTACTAAAGAGCAGCTTGAGAAACACAATGATATTTGCGCCATCTGTTATCAGGTAACTCACTCAGCGAGAATCCATTTGGATGGGTCCTACAGTGTATCCCTTGAGATTGTCACCACATTACCGGAATTCGGTCTAAATAAATTTCAGGCAGATAATTTCCTGGGTCAAAAAAAAGGTGGGGCCTCGGAAATGATTAAAGACCTAATAAAATATTTTCATTTTATATCTAAATTAAGTTTTCAAATTAGTCCCTCAAGTTCTAATTTATTGTTGTTTTCAACATTATTGCTCACCCATAAATAAAGGAAAAACAGGTCAGGTGTATTTTATATTTGCTCCTGAATACACATACACACACAGACATACATCTGATCAAATATATACATACAATCAGGAGTCAGCAACTTCCGAAAAGTGGTGTGCCAAGATTCTGACTCTTTCCTTCTGGTATTCCCACCGTAGGGAGATGTCTTGTGTATTTAATGAAGGTGGTGGGAGGACGTGCCGATCAGTGCATTGCTGGGTATCTGAGAGAAGTGCAGACGTTTGGTGGGGGTTGGGGGGGTGGAGGCCACCAGCTGGAGTACCATTGAAGCCAGCCTGCCTGCTGTCTTTGGCCTTACAAGGAGCTGAAGAGTACCCTCTCGCACGAAGTAGAGGTAGTATTTAAACTGCCGTGGCAAGAAAACAACAAAAACGAGGCCTAGAATTGCGTCGTGAGTCGCCTGTGCAAGAGCATGGTTGACTCACAGCTTTTGCTCCTGAACTGCACTGTTGGATGTGTGTAACAGAAATCATGTGCACCCATGAGCCTGTGTTCCTTTTCACATCACTCTGAGAGTGTGGGCTGGTGAGATTAAACTGTAGGTGGTGTCAGTGAGTGCCCAGGGCATGTTCTTTTTCCAACTACTGTTGTAGCTATGTGGGGTGCAAATGTACTTGTTTGTATTTAAGACTACCTATAATAATTTTTTTCCTAGTGGTAAAAAATTTTTTCAGTGCCTCTTTTTTACTGATTAGAACATACTTTTAGATACAGCAAACAGTGTCTTCCAGGTTATTTTTTGCATTTGAAGTGGCTGAGAAGTAATGTAACTCACTCCCACCCCTACATTAAATAGTCTTTCTCTTAGTTCTGTATATTATTAAAGTAATTCCAGTTCTTTTGTGCCTCATTGTACTCAGGACAAAGCATATCAAAATTGGATTCGGGGCACATCAGCTTCGGCAGCCAGTGTCTAAATACTCCATCCCCGAGACTCAAGAGTCTTTTCGTATTTCCTGTTGTCACATCACTTTTTCTGAGGTGCTAGGACTGCCTGCTGATATCACGTAGAAAAATGAGAGTACAATCGCTTAGCTTCCCAGCTGGCTGCTTTTCCTTGGATGGCTTTCTGCTTCAAAGTTGACTCCCAGGTGTTACCAGTTCTTGGCAAGGAATTTCTGGAACATGTGTATCTCCTTGTTTTGGGACTTTAAAACAAAATTAATTGTTGACTCTACAAATGTTTATCCTACAGTTTTAACTTGATGTCCTCAGGCTTCCCTCCCCAAATATGTCTTATACAAGGAATATTAATGCAAAGCATAGCACTCTGTTCCGGTGGCTATCAGACTTGAGTTCATAAACGTCACTTGGTGACTTGTAACCGTAGATTTATTAATCTCATTTTCAGATTCTGATTCGGTAGGTCTGGGGTAGCCCAAGAATACGCATTTATTAACAAGTGATTTTGATGCAAGTTGAGAAACACTGGCTTATACAGACCAGAGCTTGAAAACCGGGTGTATACATTGGCCTTAAATGAAATTGCTACTTCCTTGCCAATACCCTGGTGTTCCGTGGCTGATTTTGTCTCCTTGCAAATAATCCCATCATAGAATAATCTGTTCAGCTGTGTTGAAGCATAACTGTGGAAAAATCCTGTCTTCATCAGATTATTGAGCTTCTAATTACACTTGTGCCATGCCAGTGGAGATCCAGCATTCACACTGATACAGCTGTGTGACCTGTGCATACTAAGGCAAAACCCAGCTCAGAAGGTCGTTTCTTCCTCATTTTTGGTTTTAGTTTTTTGTTTTTTTTTTCTTTTTTAAGTTAGGCAGTGACTCTTATATTTATGTAAGGGAGTCTGATGGCAACAGGATTATTACTGAAATAAATTGAGTTTTATTCTAAGATCTATGTTACAATTTTCTGTCATTGTAAAAAGATGTTGGAATCAGAACTTCGAGGGGTAGCACCAAATATTTTACATACTAGTCATTTATAAGACATCTTTTTTCCTCCTCTTTTAGGACATGAAATCTGCTGTGATCACACCTTGCAGTCATTTCTTCCATGCAGGCTGTCTTAAGAAATGGCTGTATGTCCAGGAGACTTGCCCTCTGTGCCACTGCCACCTCAAAAACTCCTCCCAGCTTCCAGGATTAGGAACTGAGCCGGCTCCACAGCCTCATGCTGGAGCCGAGCAAAATGTGCTTCAGGAAGGCCCTGAACTCCCAGACCAAGAGCATCCTCCAGGGACCAGACTACAGGAAGGGTCTAGGGACGATAATGAGCACATTGCCAGATCAGGCAGCCAAGAAGGAGCTGTCGAACCCCAAGAATGTCCTCACAGTGCGAAAGATGAAGCATGTCCTGTTGGGTCAGCCTAGAGGAAGAGAAGCAGGCATGACACTGTGATGCTCTGGAGAAGCTAACCCAAGGTGGAATTCAGCCCAGCTGTGAAGAGTGAATGTATGAGATGAGTAGGTGGGAAAATGACATTCCAAGGCTCTGGTCCAAGAAGACTCTCAGTGAAGACCACTGGCTTTCTTCCCCTCGAGATTCTGGGAGAAAATTTTGCAATGTATGCTAATCAAAATGTATTTATATATTCTCTGCCGATGTGTTGTAGAGGTTTGCCAAGAAAATTCAGCCTCCACAGCATGAGAAACTGCCCCTGATTTGTGAGGGATCAATAAAAGCAGATTGGAGTGTTTGAAAGGGGCTTAAGCAAACGAGGACAGAGAGCTTGAGAACGGCCCAGGAAGAAGCAGGCCGCAATGGAACCGACTTTGCTTTCTGTGGGACAAGACATTCTTGTTACAGAGTACGAGTAGTGACCAGCCCTTTCCTCCACCCCCTTCCCCTCAGTTAATTGGAACTCAGTCAGGTTATTATTGAGTTTTGTACAGCACTGCAATGAAATCAAAGATGTAGAAGCATTGATTGTATTCAGAGATTGAAGCACGCTCATTCTTTGTACGTGCTTTAGGGGAGGGGGCGGGTGGGCACTTGGGCCTTGCGGGTACATTAATGTAATCTGAGACTCTTGAACTTTATGATGGAGTCTTCAATATTTTGATGTATATGAAACTTTTGTTAATATATTGTATACTTTGCTGGCTGTGTGAAGTAAACTAAAACTCTGATGAACACTTTGGAGTCTGCTTTAGAAGACCCAAGTGGGAAGGGGTTTAGGGCACTGATAAAGGCCCTGGGTATACTTTTCAATCCTGTGTAATGTTTAATTCTTGCAACTGAATCAAAACAGTGTTAAATTATGGCAATATTTGCACTTTGGGAATGAGTACATAATTGTATGATCACACTCTGCAAATGCCACTTTTAAAGCTGTTAATAGACTTTGCACCTTTTCTTTGACAAGGATGTGTCATATTTAAATTTTTACATTCATCATGGCTACAGGTAGAACCGGGGAGGGGGGAATGTAATTTTTTATGGGAATTTTGATATGAAAAGAAACTAGTCATTTATTTATACAATAGGCTTGGCTCAAAAAGTGTTTTTCAGACTTGGTATTCCTAATGTGGGATGTGACTTCATTTTATTTTTAGTAGTAAATTTGGATGTAGACTGACAGACATAGCTGAATGTCTTAATAAATTTAAATTTGAAGATAACTATGTTTTTTGTTCTTGTGATTTATTACTTTGAAGTGTTTTGCTGGAATTCTGTTAGGAGGAGATTTTATCTAAACTGGACTTCCTGTCTGTTTGGCCTTGTCAAAAATAACCCGCAGATGGCAAAACTGGTTAAAAAGGGCTAGTTCTTTGAAATCTGCACCAGTGGTAGCAAGTCCTGCTCTATCAGAGCATCTGGTGAGCGTTTTAAAAACAAATTACACATTTCTGAGCCCCACATCAGACAAGCTGAATCAGACTTTGGGGGTGCCTGCGGACAAGCACTGCAGAGCTTCCCAGATGATTCTAGCTGGCCTGGAACCTGCACCATACTACATTTAGAGAAGAAGCTTCTAAACTAGGATTAGTTTCTCCTTAGGTGAGGTTAGGAGTTTCTCATCCTTTCTGCCATCTTAGGCAGAAAACCAAGCCGATGGGTCCCCCTAGTGGTAATAAAGCTGCTGGCCTAATACCTAGTGATGCTGATCTGGGATTTAAGACTGATTTTCAGCCTGTGTAAAAGATTCATGTTCAAATACTCAAGATTTGGGGGCCCTATTGGAATCAAATTGCACATAAGCCTGAAGTCATTGATGACTTAGTGACTTTGGTCATCCTTCAGCACTGAATGTGAGTGACCTTGTTTAGTTTTTGACCAAAGGATTCTCTCTCACATGTTCACAAGGAAAAGTACTCAGACACTTCAGTGTAAGTAGAGACGTCTTTGGTGTCATTTTTATACAATACGCTTTACAGGATGTTAAAAAAAAATAAAAAGGAATAGACACACTCTCCATACCCAGTCAGATGAGCCCCTCGGCAGCCTGTCGAACAAATGTCACTGTAATATTAAAATTGGGTCCTCAGAAAAGTCACGATGCATTTTTGCATAGAAAAACGTATGTCATGACTTTTCCGACAGTAGTAGGTATCCTTTTACTTCAGCCAGGAGAGTTTTGTTAATATGTAATCACAAACCCTCGGCATTTCAGAGGCTTTAAAACTGCAAAGGTGTATGTACTACATGTGTGTTAATTTGCCACTTGGCAGGGGTACCTGTTTGGTGCAGGCTCTGGGATATATGTCTATCTTGAACCTTTCTGTGGCCCTTTCAAAGGGACAGCTCTGAAAGGCTGCACTCGGGCAGCCCCATGCTCTCCCGAGGTGTGCACAGGCGTCACTTCTGCACACCACCTGTTGGCCAGAACTCCTGTCACCTCTAGCTACAGCAGAGCATGGCAGTGGTCTGCCATATTGGAAAGAGAACACGTGTCAGTGACCAGTGTTCTGGGGAGAACACTTCATCTTAACACACGGTCCAAAATGTGGGAGGACACTTACGCCTGGTTCGAAACAGACCATCAAGAACTCCCACTTAATCTGTTCCAAGTTCTACATACTTGGGCAGTAGCATTGGGTAACGCTATCCATCATTTCAAATGTGTTTCGGTCGTGATAGGTTTCACCTGCAAACTTTTGGACTTAAGAAGACAACGTTAAACCACCTCGGTGTACTACTGAGGAGATTCAGTCCCCCTTGTATTTTTCTTGATCACATTAAGAAAATAGTCAAATCCCTTAGGGGTCCTTTGGGGCCACAGTTCCTGTCCACTTCGTGTTTACCACTAAATTTCAGACAGTGCACACTTACTTTCACTCATAATCAGTATTCACTTAAAAACGAATAAAACTTAATCGCTTTATGAACTTTGGCAACCGAGGTTAGTATTCATACTAAGTTCATGTGTATTTCTATTTTGTGTTATTTCTTTTTTTTTTTTTTTAATCTGTGTTCCTGAACCATTAGATGACAGATTTTATTTTATTTATTCATTTATTTATTTTAATTGGACTGGAGAGAGAGAGACAGAGAGAAAGTGATAGAGGGAAAGTGAGAAAGCAAGCCACCAGGTCTGGGACTCGAACTGTAGTCGACCATGTGGGAGTGTCCAGTGCTTTAACCACCAGGCCACCTGCTGGTCCCTCTATTTTGTGTTATTTCTTACTTTATAAAACTTGTTTTAGTAATCTAAATCATGCTACTTGCACAGAGCTGTCTCTAGAGGTCTGATTTTCAAACATTCGTAATAGGCTTTTAAGAGTATGCTATTTTCATGAGTATTTTACATCAGAACTCTGCTTTTAAACTTTTGAGGTATGTCAAATGGTGAATTTAATTGGTTGAAAAGGACAAATATTGTAGTTTCCAGGTTTTAAAAAGTTTTTTTTTTTTTTTTTTTTTTTTTAAAGAGCTTTTGCTGTAGGTTGTGTGCACTCACTGGATAGATGGAGACAGAAAGTGAGAAATCAACCCCCAGGAACATGATCATGCCGCAGTCCCTTTTCCATTCTCTTGGGATTTAGGGCACACACGCTCATGTGCCCGGCGTAAGTTTCAAGCTGCCAGGTCTGGGACTCAAACTACAGTACGCCATGTGGGAGTCCAGCGTCTTAACCACCATGCCACCTGCTGGTCCCCATTAAAGTAGTTTTCTGTGGCTGCGATAATGAAACAAGAATTTTAAACAGATTTAAGTATTAATATGTAATTTGCCAATTTTGAAAAAAAAAGTTTTAAATGTGTTTACACTTCAGTTGCTTTCACATTGGCATTTATAAAATCAGAGTGTCTCCAATTTTTATTTTTATTTGCTATAAGGCATAAATGCTCATCTTGGAGTCAGGGAGAGAGAAAGTGAGAAACCACCCACTAGGGGGATAGCTGCAACACCATCCCTTCTCCACTCTCTTCTCAGGATTTTGGGTGTGCACGGGTGTGCACGCGTGCTCACGCACCCAGAATGTTTTGTGGTTTTTTTTTGGAGAGGTTTTTGCTATAGGGCGCATGCGCTTGCCAGAAAGAGAAAGAGAGACAGAGAGATAGAAAGTGAGAAATCGCCCCCCAGGGGGGATGGCCACGCCGCAATCCCTTCTCCATTCTCCTCTGGGGATCTTGGGCACGGCGTGAGTTTAAGCCACCGGGTCCAGGACTTGAACTGCGGTCCACTACGTGGGAGTCCAGCGACATAGCCATTACGCTAACTGCTGGTCGCGCACCCAGAATGTTTTTAAGCCACTGGTTCAGGCTCAAACTGCACAGTTGACTATGTGGGATCCAGCCACCTGAACCTCTACGCCATCTACTGACCCAGATTTCTCTGATTTTAGAATCATGGCAAGTTGAAGGTAGGAAATTAGATTATTTTTAGACATACATGCTTACATTTTCTTCCTAGTTTTTTTCAATATTGCTTATTTGGAAAGTAAAGTATTTATAAAGAACAAAAATCACTCATTTTTGTAATTGGTCTTTTTTAAGTTACTTGCACTTTTGATTGTAGCAAAACTCCCCCATAGACAAGCATACTTACCTACCCAAGGGTCACTTTTGTATCTCTTTTTGAAGTCTACTATCTTCCGCTTTTGAAATTCAAATACTGCTTCTCTCCCCTTTGAAGATAGGGAAGTAGGTATTGTTACCAGTCAACTAAGTTCAATTGCTGCTGTTTGGTCAGTGAAACAAGAGGCAGAGGCTGGAGAAGGGAGTTTATTTCTATAACAGGATACAGGAGACAGTCAGCAAGCACCATCAAAGTTCAACATGTTCTTGGTATTTATAGCACAAGATACAAGCACGTAAATTATTCCTCACTACAATCAATCAGAGTCAATCACCTTCTCCTGATTCCTGTTTTATTTCAAAAACCCATTCCTGGTTTCTCATCTGACCGTTCTTCAAACAGACCTCCCTATGACTCAGCACTTAGAGGCCTTTCTTAATTTCAAAATGGCTGCCCTCCTGCTTCTCCTCAAGCTGGCCTGCTTCAGGATGGCTTTTATAAATAGGGTTCTATTTTTTTACGTAGGACATAGAAAATAACCATACATACTATAATAGCTTATAGAATTATCCTCGTGGCTTTATTTCTCTCACCCTGTGGAGTCTGCACTGTATGGATGAATACATTTCAGAGTAAAGACAGGATTTCCTGATGAAGACAAAAAAATCTTACTAGTTGCGCGTCTAGGGTCCTTTTCATTTCCTTGCTCTTACACTTACACGTTGGTGTCTTTTCCTAACCTCTAGAAATATTGGCTGTTTGGCCATGACTTTTTCTCCCTATTGTTAATATATATAAGCAATTCTTTGCTATTTTATTGTTTTACATGTTCTAGGGTTAAAAAAATGGCTTTTTACTAGCTGTAAATCCTCTCTATAAATATAGAGGAAATTCTGAACCAATTTAGGATTATTCTGAGCTAATTTAGTCATGTTCTATTACTTTCCAAATGAGAACTTCCAAACTAAAGTCATCTCTCCTAGTGGCATCGAGCCTGCTAATTACCTTTGGCAGTCCTTTATCTGTCCCCTTGGATTTAGGGAAACAGGCAACTTGAAAGTGGTAAAAAGAGCCTGGACAAAGGACAGGCGCTCTGGGCTATCATTTTCGCTCCTTCTCTGGCTATGTGATCCTTGACTGGCCTTTGTTTTTCTGAGCTTCAGTCTCACCTGAAAAAGATGATCTCTAAGATATTCTATTCAAGATTTTACTCATCTATATTTTTTAGTCTTTACCACAGACTGAGTAATGAGCGTCTTTTTTTTTTTAATGTACTATGCTGAATATCAAACTTAGCTAATGTTATGTTTGTATTTCCAGCGCCTGGTACAGGACAAGAACTCTCCGAATATCTACTGAATAAGCATGTGAACTGAGCATGTGGCTCCTCTATAAACCCCATAGTTTTCAAAAGGCAGAGAACTCTTTCCTGGTTTCTCATCTGACCGTTCTTCAAACAGACCTCCCTATGACTCAGCACTTAGAGGCCTTTCTTAATTTCAAAATGGCTGCCCTCCTGCTTCTCCTCAAGCTGGCCTGCTTCAGGATGGCTTTTATAAATAGGGTTCTATTTTTTTACGTAGGACATAGAAAATAACCATACATACTATAATAGCTTATAGAATTATCCTCGTGGCTTTATTTCTCTCACCCTGTGGA